TTAAAGAAATTATACTTACTCTGAGTAACAGGCGGGATAAAAAATATTTCATCCAGAAATAATAATATGAAAAAATAAAATAATATTATAATACTATCTAATAATAAAGAAATACTGGAATTAAATTTCTACTGATAATAATAATATATGAAAAGCTACTAAATACTTGGATGTAAAAGAAAATATAGTATTCAAAAAGATTCTGCAGTTTCTCAGAATAGATAAAACTATTATTACTAATTATAAGAAGTAAATAAAAAGATTACTAGCTAAGTTTTTTCTACTCCTACTAGATAATATCAATGATGAAAATAATAAATTATGAAAAATACCTGTCAAGATGCGTATTATCATAATAAAGAAAATAAAATATTAATTAATAATAATAATTTTTTAGAAAATATCAAGTAAAGACAGTCTATCAATAATAATCTAGAAGATAACTTAGTTTATAGTTAAGAATAAAATCCTTGGTTTATTGCAGGCATTACTAGAAGAAGAAATATTATTAAAACAGTAAAAATATATAAAGATTATATTATTTAAAAAACTAATTAAAAAGAACTAGTCTTGAACAAGAAAAGAGAAGTAAGACTAAATAATACTACACAGTTATTTATAAGTAAGTGCAGACAAGTATTTCTGTAGCTAAGCTTCCAAATATATAATTATTTAAAGATAATATTATTAAGCATTAAGAACAGAATTAGGTGAATATATAAGAAAATATTCTTATATATTCTATTATATATTATCAGATCTGTTATATACCAGTACAGTAGTTATAAATTATATTATATACTTGTCTGTATACTATGATTATATAATATATAATTATTTCAGGCATTGTAAGAGCAATCTAAAATTATACTAAATAATAGTTTTGGTTTTACTTGAGTGCTGTCCTTATCAGTACTTTCTGCCTGGTAAGTCTGTCTTACTAGTAGGTTAACTAGCAGGGGTCCGTAACAATGATCTTTACTTTCTTATAACTAATTCTAAGTATATATATAGATTACTATATTTTAATATTCTTATGAAAAGAAATACTTTTTTGAAAATATATAATTTAGATATAATAAATTATACTAGATAAGAAGTATAATTAATTTAAGCTTTCTAGGGTATCGAATATATAGAATTTTTAGAATTTTAGATAAAAATATTAATGTATTACTTTATATAATACTTATTAGAATAAAACTTAATACTATAATCTTTATTATTATAATATTTATTTTTATAATACTTATTAAACTTAATTAAACTTAGTATCTATAGAAAAAAAAATTAATTTAATTTAAATTTTACGGAGCAGTCTTCTTTGTGTTTCGGGTGACTGGCGCTTGGCTTCAGGCTGGACCTGATCAGCTTCCTCTCAATGTAGTAATGTAGTTCTAGATTCCTCTTGTCGTTGAAGCTTTAAATGGCAATGCTCTCGAGTTCCTTCCCGATATTATATTCGTTTTGTTCCCTCGTTATGAGCCTATTCGTGAGGCCTTTCACGGAATCTATCTCACTTGGCACTTAGCTAGACTGCAATAGCAATGTAGAGAGGATGGTGGTTTGAGCCCGACGAATAATGATGCAACAATGCTTCTCGGTAATGGGTTCACGATGTAGAACATGTGGCCAATCACCAGCACTGGAAGAATTCACCCAACGCCCAAGGTTATATATATTGATGGACTTTCGTACAGAAAGCCCCAGGAAACATACCGATCAGCGCCATGCGCAACCCATTGAAACCCGCCAGCAGGTGACTCCTAACAAAAATCGCGATTGACTTGCGCCATATGGTTTTCGAGGTCCTTGACGTTAGTTGTAGAGGGGTGAGGATTAGGAGGGCGGGGCGAAGAGATAGTCGAGGCGATGTAGAATTTCATATTTATATATAGTGAGGTGGAAATGGGACAATGGCAGCAGTATGGAACATTCCTTGCGCGCTTCAGCAGGAAGGTCGGTCAAAGGAAGTAGTCAAACAAAAGCTTGAAAATGCAACATAGACTTCTCAATGCCTCCAATCATAATACACACACACACACACACACACACACACACACACACACACACACACACACACACACACACACACACACACACACACACAAAATTCATTAACGCCCGGCTCAGCCGAAAGGGTATGTCACAGATCCATTTAACACACTTTCTAATGGACTTTATTGCGAATGAGTGGCATACGCATTGAAACGGTGAATTACGCGAAATCAATACCGTGTACGGGTTCGGTGGCGGCTCGCTTGTGGATTTCAAGCCAATGATATGCATTGCACCCAGCAGCCTCACTCTTTTACCCCTCTTTCCAGCCGAAGTGCCTCTTATCACCTTTCCATTTTCACATCTCCTTTCCAGGTAGAACTCTTAATCGCATATAGAATTAGGCTCGTATCCGCTAGCCGGCATGAAGTTTACCTTCTAGGGCCTTTCTGTCGCCTGCTGCCCTACAATGTCAGATCCAGACCAGTACACTGTTGGTTGGATATGTGCCTTGGAGACAGAATACGTCGCTGCCCGAGCTTTTTTCGAGAAGAAACATCCTCGCCCGGAGACGCTTTCGCCAAACGATAATAATCACTACACGCTGGGGGAAGTCGGCGGTCATCGGATTGTTATTGCCGTTCTGCCAGATGGAGAATACGGGATATCATCAGCTGCTGGGGTGGCTAGGGATATGGTCCACAGCTTTCCGAACATCCGATTTGGGCTCATGGTTGGGATTGGTGGTGGGGTGCCTACAAAGCATGACATCCGTCTTGGCGATGTTATCGTGAGCTCATCTCGAAATGGGAGAGGTGGCCTGCTGCAATACGACCTCGGTAAAGAGTTGCAAGGGCAAGAGTTCTATCAAACCGGGTTCTTGAACCAGCCGCCGCCGATTCTACGCACAGCTGTCGCTGGGCTCCAAGCACAGTATGAGGAGGAGGGCCATCAGTTGAAGGAGAGCATTCAAGCCGTGCTTGAAGGCAATAATCGACTGAAACGGAGATATATGCAATCTCCTTTCGAGGCCGACAGACTTTTTGAAAGCCAGTTTGCTCATCTGAATCCCCATGCCAACTGTGGCGAGATTTGTGACAGTTCAAACTTGATTTGTCGACCAAAGCGAACCGATGAGGAATATGACCCTGCTATTCACTATGGCTTGATAGCATCTGGGAACAGAGTGATCAAGGATGCAATATTCCGTGATAAGCTAGCAGCAGAGAAGGATGTTTTATGCCTTGAAATGGAAGCAGCTGGATTAATGAACCATTTCCCTTGCTTGGTTATCCGTGGTGTTTGCGACTATGCCGACTCGCACAAGGGCAAGGAATGGCAAGGTTGGGCTGCAATGATGGCGGCTGCATATGCAAGGGATCTCTTGTATCAAATTGTCCCCCAGCGGGTAAAGGCTGAGCGAAGAGTCAGCGAACTATTGGATGGTTAGTTATAGCTACCTTTCAATAACTTCATCATCATGCTTAAAACCTTTTACTAGGAATCAAAAGCCAACTGGCTAACGTATCCAAGGACATCGACAACCTTCGTTCGATCACTAGCGGATCGGCGCAAGAAGTACATGCGCTTGCCGAGAGCATTGATTTGAAGGATCTACCAGTTGCTACAGGAGCTGAATTTGGAACATATATGGATCAACACGAAGAAGAATGCCTCCCAGGGACCCGAAAAGAGCTTCTCCTCGACATTCGAGATTGGGCTGTATCAGATCAAGGAAAATGTATTTTCTGGCTGAATGGTTTGGCCGGAACTGGCAAGTCCACAATATCACGAACCGTGGCAAAAGACCTTCAGGAGCAAGGGCTGTTGGGGGCGAGCTTCTTCTTCAAGAGAGGTGAAGGAGACCGCGGTAACGCAGCTCGCTTCTTTCCTACTATCATCCAACAGCTATTTACCAGAATCCCGGAACTTCGCGCTGCTATCCTGCAGGCGATTCGGGATAATCCGAGAATCTCAACCATGCCACTTAAGGAGCAATTTGAGGAGCTTATTCACAGACCACTCCACAGTTTAAGTCAATCTAGTCTCCAGAGCTTGCGTCTTGTAGTTGTGGTTGATGCACTTGATGAATGCGATCGTGATGATGATATTAAAGTCATCCTCCAGCTCTTGCCACGAGTTCAGGATGTCAACTCTCTTTGTTTACGATTTTTCATTACCAGCCGACCCGAGCTGCCTCTTCGATTAGGCTTCAATGCAATTGACCATCGTGACCTAATCCTCCATGAGGTACCCAAGCCTATAATAGAACGTGATATCTCGATGTTCTTAAAAGAAAAATTTGTTTCGATAAGGCACACTCGATCCCTCTCTTCAGACTGGCCTGGCTATGTGAATGCCCAACGCCTTGTTACCATGTCAGTCCCGTTATTTATCTTTGCTGCCACGATATGTCGTTTATTTGAGGATTACAATCTCGATCCCGCGCAGTGTCTCACCGAGATCCTCAAATACCAGAATCATGAGTCAAAGTTGGATGGAACATATCTGCCAGTGCTGGACCGCCTGGTCTCTAAATACAATGGAAAAACACAAAAGCAGTTGATTCAGGGGGTCCGAGAAGTTGTCGGCACAATTATTCTTCTTGAGAGCCCATTATCATTTACATCCCTCTCAAAGTTCATGGGAATCTCCACGCAGTCCATCCCTGCCAGACTGAACTCACTGCACTCTGTCCTGTATATACCGAATAATGACATACTACCAGTGAGGCTCTTCCATCAATCGTTTCGAGACTTTCTTCTTGACCCCAGCACTCGCGGAAAAACTCCATTTTGGGTTGATGAGAAGGAAATGAACCAGACAATATTTATCTCGTGTCTTTCTGTCATGCGCGAGTACCTCAAGAAGAACATATGCAGACTTGGAAGCTATGGAACTAAGCGCAGCGATATCAATCACAAGTCTATTGACCACTATTTACTACCAGAGCTGCAGTATTCCTGTCGCTATTGGATTCACCATTTAGCTCGAAGCAACGACCCGATGAGCCAGGTTAATGATATCTTAACATTCCTAAAAGAGCACTTCCTTCATTGGCTGGAGTCAATGAGCATTTTAGGGATAACACCTGAAGCAATAATTGCAGTGAATTCTTTGCTCCAGCTGACCAAAGTATGTATTAGACTAGGTTGTGGCAGCCGACTGACTAACACTAATGGGAAATCCAGGATACATCCAGTAATGAGATGTACGTCTTTCTCTTAGATGCGCGAAGATTTATCCTAAAATTTGCACAAATTGTTGATACGGCACCATTGCAATTGTACAGCTCTGGCCTGATTTTTGCACCACATAGATCCTTGATCAAAGAGAGCTTTGAGAGAGAACTTCCTGCTTGGTTATCCAGAGGTCCAAAGGTAGAAGAATATTGGGATCCAGAGATGCAAACGCTCGAGGGCCATTCTGGCTCGATTCACTCGGTCGCCTTTTCAAATAACGGGCAGCTGCTGGCATCCGGCTCGGAGGACAACACCATCAAGCTGTGGGATGCGGCCACGGGCGCTCTCAAGCATACATTGGAGGGCCATTCTGATTCAGTCATCTCGGTCGCCTTCTCAAACAATGGGCAGCTGCTGGCATCCAGCTCGTATGACAACACCATCAAGCTGTGGGATGCGGCCACGGGCACTCTCAAGCATGACATAAGCACTGACCATGTTGCCACCGACATTCAATTTTCTGAGCAGCTGCCATTATTGATTACTAATATAGGGTCTTTCGATATTCGAAATTGCTATGAAAGCTTCTCAACTTCGTCCGAGAAGGTGATGGAGATTTCTCTGGCAGCAGGGCGGTGGGTCACTGTTCAGGGTCAAAGAGAGGTATGGCTACCTCCAAATTATTACCCTCAGTCGTCAACGGTCAAAGACAGTACTATTGCACTTGGGAGCACGAGCGGCAGAGTTGCCATAATTGCGGTCTCGGTCATGTGAGGTATCCTGTGCTGAACTGCATTCCTAGCTCTCTTATTTTAAGGTCTCTTTTCAAAAGAAGGGTAAGGGAGACCGGGGCTCTATATAGCTATCTGCAGATTAATAGTGTTCGCGATGTTTCGGGCTCTATCAGTAGGTGGTGGCCAATCACCGATACTTTTGGGTAGTGGCGCGAAGCAAGGTTGACGTGCATCCATGGACCTCAGTCATGTGACTACGTGCTGGAATTTCTTCCCAAACGTAAAGGGCACAAGTGCATAAGTAATCACGTGAAGCAATGAAAACGCCCAAAGAAATCCCGTTTAACACAGGTCGTATTGTAACGAATATTGCTCAAATAGTCGGCTTGCGCTAGTCTCTTGGCAGTGGGGCTGGGAAACAATTGTCATGTGTTCGAAGGTCAGAGGAATATCGGAACCGGCTATACGGGTGCGGACTGTATGACTGTATGAGAGAGGACTTAGATTAAGGGGAAGGCTAATTCGTAGTGCTGGTTGATAATGAGCGCGATATAAAACGGTTGTTGTGTGCCGAGCGAGAATTATCGCGATGGCGGACCCACCCACGGGTGCTCCCGAGCCCCTTGGGAACATGACCACACTGGGGAACGACGCGCTGGAAAACTCTGAATCAACGACCACGCGCAAGACACGGAGACAAACACGCGCAGACAACCACCAGGATCAGGCGAACTCACTAAGTATCGAACCAAGCACCGCAGGTACCAACACACCCGGTGACCACCAAGGAAATCCGGCAGATCATCGAACACCTGCAACATACCATTGAGAAGCAAACCACGTTGATCCAGGCCACCAGAACCGAGCTGAGAGAAGTGAAACACAATCAGAGAGAACTACAAACTCAGAATGAGAAACTACAAGACGAGATCCAAACGCTCCGAACTCAAATCGAAGGGCTCGACGCACCGAATCCAACGCGATCGTGGGCCGCCGTAGCAGCGGACACGAACATCTGCGAACCAAGCAAGAACCGACGCACCGAAAAGGACAAGAACTGTATCCGAATCAGCACCCAACCGTTGCCAACTGACACAACCGGTATATACACCAATACTAATGAAATTGGCCGTTACCTCCCCATGCCGTCTGCGAACAACCACATCAGGACCGCCTTACTGAACGCACCATCCACCCACGGGGTACAGGTAGCAGGGGTTGGAACCACCAAAACTGGATATGTGATCCGTTTCAAAGACCCCGAGTTAGCTGAGACTGCCAGGAACAATACAGAATGGTTACAGGAGCTGGGCCGTGAGACAAGACTGGTAAAACCACGTTACGGGGTAGCCGTACACCATGTCCCAACACAGGGGCTGGATCTAGAGAAAGACAAAACAGGAGCCATCCGGAAAATTGCACAGGAAAATGATCTCCAGGAACGTGGGTTCCGAATCGAAGATATCGCTTGGCTTAAGAAAAAAGACAAAGCATTAGGGCCGTTCGCATCACTGGGGATCTGGTTTGACTCAGCGGAGGCGGCGAACTGGATGCTCGACAACGGCCTTCTGATCGACCAACGGTACATTGAAAGAGTAGAGAATTGTGAAATTAGGAAAAGACGCTGCTTCCGCTGTCAAGAGTTTGGTCACCTCGCATGGTCGTGCAAGGAGACACCACGGTGCGGTCACTGTGGCGACCAACATGAGCGAGCGCGATGTCCTCCAGGCGTTAGACCACGCTGTCTGGACTGTAGAGGAGAGCACGCAACCGGCAACAGCCTGTGCTCCGACGCCCGCTATAGCGCCCCCCGCACGATGCTAGAAAACAACCTTCGAATCCTGCAATTGAATATGATGAAATCGAAACCCTGCATGGAAGCCCTTATCAATGATAACCAGACCCAAAACCTGGACATACTCCTCGTCCAGGAACCATCTACCACTATATATCGAAGCCATGTGAACCATAGCGCATGGAGACTACACCGACCAACAGTAACAAGCGATTCTGTCAGATTCAGGAGCCTTATCTATGTTAATCGGAGACTCTCTACGTCCTCCTACCAACAGGTGCACTGCGACCAACCTGATCTAACAGCAATCAAGATCCGGACACCCGGACTACAGATTCTGGTCTTCTCGGTGTACATCGAACCTATACCAATGCATAATCCGGGAGAAGCGTCAGCAAGACGTGTACTATCAGCCATACGTGACACGATACATAGTACTCTACAAAACACAAAAAAGACCACTAGTCTCATACTGTCAGGAGACTTCAATCGTCACCACCCGGCTTGGGGTGGTAACCATGTCCAATCCCGTTTCATCGAAGATGCGAGCGAATTGATCAATTTCTTCAACACCTACAGCCTTCGGAGCTGCCTCCCACGCGGCACGGCAACTTTCTGGTCACTAAGCCACCCCGGTAGAAACTCTACTATCGATCAGACATTGACGGACCGTCCGGGGATGCTTCTCAAATGCCATCTTTACCATGATAATTACGGCTCCGACCACCGAGCAACCTACTCGGAATGGAGCCTCCGAATGCCGCGCAACCCCGACACCAAACCAAGGAAGGCGTACGAACGAGCCGACTGGGAAAAGATTGGATGGGATATATGGGGAAGCATGAGGCCCTGGGAGACGCCAGACACAATTGAAACACTCGATGCCACGGTGGAGAAACTTATTCTAGCGACCGCGACGGCCATTGACAAGGACATCCCGAACCTACAACCGTCACCATATGCTAAGCGTTGGTTTACACCAGACCTCAAAACCCAACAAAAAGCAGTAAACCAAACACGGCGTAAATGGCAAGAGAGCTGCGCAAGGGCAGGACGGGACGACCCCTACACTAAGCTACTCTCTGAGGATATGCGCCAAAAGCGCCGGACATGGACACGGGCAATTGAGAAAGCCAAAACCGCACATTGGAAACAGTTTCTGGACAGAGCAGGGGAAGGGAGGCTTTGGAAAGCGGCGACATACATGCGGCCACGCGAATCCTGGAGCAGCGTTCCGGCTCTCAAGGTCGATAACCGCAGCGTGACTGGAAACCAAGAGAAGGCCGAAGCATTTATGGATACATTCTTCCCGACGATGGCGCCGGCCCAGGAAGAGACACCCATACGAATCCCAGCGGAACTTCCATGGCAACCAATTACAGAACTCGAAGTCTATAGATCCTTACAGGCAGCGAAGAGCTCGACGGCGCCCGGAGAGGACGGACTCCCGATGCTGATCTGGAAACGGCTGTGGGGACACCTTGGAAACCTCATCACGCGAATTTTCGCAGCATCGATTGACTTAGGGTACCACCCCCGAAAGTGGAGAAGCGCCCGGCTTGTGGTTCTACGTAAACCCGGGAAGTCTGATTACTCGATCCCGGGAGCGTACCGGCCGATCTCACTGCTGAACACACTCGGCAAATTACTTGAGGCGGTAATGGCCCGGCGGCTGTCCTACCTCGCAGAGCACTACGGACTTCTCCCGGACACCCAGTTCGGCGGACGTCCGGGGCGAACAACCGAGCAGGCCCTGCTGGTGTTGACTAACGCAATCGACCGGGCGTGGTATGGACAGAGAGTAGTTACCTTGGTAGCCTTTGATCTGAAGGGTGCTTTCAATGGCGTGAACAAGACCAGTCTTGATATTCGTCTCCAAGCTAAAGGCATTCCTAAGGTCGCTCGAAGGTGGATTGCAAGCTTCATGAGCGGTCGACAAGCCAGAATTGGGTTCGATGACTACTGCTCCGATGTGATACCGCTGGGAAATGCCGGGCTGGCGCAAGTTTCCCCCTTATCCCCTATCCTCTTTGCTTTTTTCAACAGTGATCTGGTGGACCAACCAGTCAATTTTCACGGCGGTGCATCAGCCTTCATCGACGATTACTTCCGTTGGCGGGTTGGACGATCTGCTGAAGAGAACTTGGCTAAACTCCAATCCGAGGATATACCCCGGATTGAAGCCTGGGCTCGGAAAACAGGATCGAGCTTTGCTGCCGAAAAGACTGAACTCATCCATATCATCAGGAAGAGAAGGGAACAATGTCGAGGTCATATCACACCATAAACAGCAGCGTCATCACTCCAACAACTGCAAAGCTCCTCGGCGTCATTTTTGACCATGAACTACGGTGGAAGGAACATGTGCAACAAGCTGTCAAGCGAGCTACCAAGGTCAACGTGGCGATTGGGGGGCTGCGGCAGCTTCGGCCTGAACAGATGCGACAGCTATACGAAGCGTGTGTCACACCAGTTGTTCAATATGCGTCAACTGTGTGGCACGACCCACTGCGAGACAAAACACACCTGAGACAGTTACGCACCGTGCAGCGTACGGCACTTATTCGCATTCTCTCCGCCTTCCGAACGGTAGCCACATCCACTCTCGATGTCGAAGCTTATATGCTACCTACCCATCTTCGCCTACGCCAGCGTGCTCAAACCACCATCACTCAACTCCACACATTACCACGGAAGCATCCAATCCGGGAAGTCCTGCTTCGGGCCCGGAGACGACGAGATAATGTCGGATCACACGCCCGGTTCCCGCTCGCGGAGGCTCTGAAAACCATGAACCTAGAAAGGCTCGACGACCTGGAAATGATTGATCCAGCCCCACAACCACCGTGGCGGGCTGAAGCCTTTTCTAAAATCGACATTGCGACCAATAGGGAAATAGCGATGGAGCAGGCGGAGGCAGCACGGTCCGAGTCGGACCTTGTGGTGTACTCCGACGCCTCGGGGCGTCAAGGCCACCTGGGTGCCGCAGCCGCAGTCCTCGATGACGAATCGGTAACGACTGAGAGCCTACAGATACAGGTCGGACCCACGGACCAATGGTCGGTGCATGCCGCCGAACTAATCGGTATCCTTTATGCGATCAATCTTATCAATAGAATCGTGCTCCAACAGCGAAGAGCCGGCCAGAAACGAGCGAGAACAGTCACTATTCTCAGCGACAGCACGTCAGCACTGCTGGCTATTCAGAAACCCGGCAGTAAATCAGGCCAACAAATTATCTATGCGATCCTTCAAGCAGCCAAGAATACGAGAACGCACGGGGTTACAATTCGATTGCAGTGGGTTCCCGGACACAGCGAGATCCTCGGTAACGACGCAGCCGATCGGCTGGCCAAAGAAGCAGCTATACCTGGCAAGACACACCCGTTTTCCCCCCTGCTCTCGCGTGAAAGAGCATACATCAGGCAAGGAATCCTTACTCAATGGGAGAAAGAATGGAAAGAGTCCAGGGACGGCGGCCATCTCCGGAAAATCGACAACACACTGCCAGCAAAATACACCAGACGACTCTACGGAGCTCTGCCAAGAAATCGAGCATACCTTCTGACCCAGATACGGTCGGGACATTGCTGGCTGTCCACGTACGGCAAGTTGTTCGGCTTCCGCGATGATGACCGGTGCCTCTGCGGTGGACGGGAAAGTATAATACACGTCCTTCTAGATTGCCCGCTGCTCAGAGACCTACGTCGAGAGCTCCGGGCAAAGGTCGGCGATGCGCTCAATAGCATGTCAGTCCTGCTGGGCGGATCTGGATCTTGCCAGGAGGGTGGAAGTAGAGTCAGCAACGCTTCGCGCACTAAGACAGTCGAGGCCGTCTTGGATTTTGCGGAAGCATCCCAGCGATTTCGAAGCCGCGTGCCATAAGGGCAGCTAACTAACATCAACGGCGCAAAGGCCACAATAGGCCCCGACGAGGCTCTAAGTTCGTTTAAGAAGTGGTACAGGACCAATGTTTATTAAAGAGATACATATAGTGGTAGTAGCCTGCATATCGCCTTAGCGAGGGGTCAGGGTAAATGAAGCCATCCATCCATCCATCCATCCATCCAACTGTACTGGGCACAGCGACGCTGACAATTGTAGTATCGAGGACTACCAGAAAATGTTCCACAACACAGAGACGCGATAACGATTGCTAGCCGTCATGTCTCCGTTAGCGCTGTAGTCTGGTATTTTCTACCTTCAAAGTGAACATTGTCAGTTTCCTCCATCGATATTTCAATGTGACATGAGCAACTGGCGATCAACACGCCCAATTGGATACGTAGCAGCATCGGTCTCAGCCTAAGCTGACAGGCCACTTACTATGCCAGCCAAGAAGCATCTTGGATCATGGATCATGCATGCCAGGAGCAAAAGGGGCCACGGAAGGAAGGCTGTGCAGGCAAGCGAGAGGGTCTCTGAATTTTCCCTACAAAACTTTCTGATCCCCTGTGATAAGCGGTAAATGCAGTTTAAAGAATCCATACGAAATCTACTATCACTGAAGACACGATTGATAATACCATCAAATACTGCGCTCTACCTGACTACCTCACCACATTGGGGGCTGAAATTCACAACCCTCATCTCGTTTATGCAACTTCACCCGCCTGCTCTTTACAAAAGGCAAAACGCCTGATTAATCATAGCTCATTGCCCACTGCTTAGCTGCACCATGTCACATTCAGAGATTGTCTTGTAACATTCCGACAATGCTCACAGGGACCACCGAGTCATTAAGACCTGCGTTGGAACGATACAACATCGGATAAAGGTATGCAGGAAACGACCAGACCAGAAAGCTTCCGACCCAGAGAAAACCAAATATCCGTTCACCGCGGGACGCCGTCCTATTGCGAGACGGCCCGCCACAACGAAGTATAACAGAGTAAGCATTGATTGCCAGATCTTCCAATATTAAACCGAAGGCCTGCGTGCAGAAGAACTGCACAGCCCCGGAGCTAGATGGCAATAGCCCCGATGATAAGTCAATAAGAAAGTGCATGAAAGCTGAGGTTGCAAACACCGTTACAACTCTGGCATATCGATCGGCGAGCGTCCACAGCTGGAAGCGAAAAATATCGCTTGCAAAAAATCGAGAGATGGCGCGGAATTTGTGAGAATTTGATTGGTGCCACACGCGACTATTCCGGTATTAGTTGAATACCAATAAAGAAAAGAACAGAGTTAGAGGGGTTTTTACCTCCACAGTCTTCGCAGACTATATGCATCCGACAAGGTTCCGTACAAAGGAGGCCAGTCCTGCGGTTTACTCCACCTCGCAAGAACGCTGGTGAATGCGAAGAGATAATAGAAACCACCCTGACTGGCCAATAAGCCTATGCCAGCTGCAATGCCCGAAAAGACTCGAATGGCGATCTCTTCCGCAGTAATTTCGGAGATCCTCCGAACCAACGGCACACGAGATGCAACGAGGAAGCGAGATCCCACTTCAGGATCGCCCATCGAGCCGAGCACATCGAGGGCCAGGTAACTGAGGAGGATAATTCCCGCAGATCGACGGAGAAATGCGGCTCGGTCGCAGGTGATCGCCTCAGGAACATGATTCACTTGCTCAGGCGTTCCAATGCATCGCGCATTGAAGGCCGCCCAGATACCAAACCGTACACGGGCCACCCAGGTTGCATTTAGCGGCTCGGGCGATTTCGCCGCGGAGGGGTCAGCAAATTCCCAACGCGTCAACAAACCTATGTCGATATAATGAAGCAGTAACATGACCGAATAACCACCTGCCAGGCTGGCCCATGGTGTCCGAACGAAGTATCCCAATGCGGTGGAGATACAATGGCCAGTACATAGTGCGACAATCACCAATGCGCCAGGCCTCAGGCTTGAAGGGGCCGAGGTGAAGCCCAGTGTGGTCACCACCACGGCAGTTTGAAGGGAAATTGATAAGAAAGGATTCAAGGGCATTCTCTATACTCTATTGCTGGACTTGGGGGTTTTTAGCTGTCGCAAGGTTGTAGCAGACAAAGCAGGGAGCCAAAGAGTATCTTGTACGTTAAGGGAAAGATCAGAAATTGTGAATAGGAGGAATAGAAGATGGTTATGTACAGTACCTTTGGCCCAACCAAACAAAGGAGCAGGGAAGCTTGGACACCTTCTGGCCTAAAGTTGGGGCTTATCAAAGAGTAAGGGGCGAACCCTTGCACCAAGCACACCCTGGTCCAGTCTACATGGTGATTGAGGGTAGTTACAGTCTTTGCCTACTGCAAGATTTTGACAGAACATAAAGTACTGTATAAGCCGCCATCAAGATAGATACAGTTTAATTCTGGAATAACACTGAGCGTCCAGAACACTGTCACCTCCCTATCTTGCCGCTCTTGTAAAAGAGCCGACTCTACGACACACGCTATCACCGACGTCTCTCCCCCGAGAGGATGAAAGACGTGGATGCTTATCAAAAAGGAAATCCGTGGAAGCAATATACTGAACCATAAGCAACTACAAATTTCATACTTATATAACATGAGTCCTAGTTCTGAATGCGACACGAGCAATCAAGGCAGGCAGCCTCCAGCCGTTCCAGTATCCTTGACGACAATCGTGACGTGGCGTGCTGATTGAAAAGAGCGCTCACCAGATGCTCAACTGGGATTCTATGGAACCAGTGCAATAGAACTAGCTTCTTCTCTGTACCGATTAGCCAGGTCCAACATCAAGTCACCGTAATAAACAGCCCACGCTCTCTGTAAGAGACCTTCGTCTCGGCGACAACGCAAACATGTGATATACATACATACCTTCCGTACTAAGACAAAGCGGTGTTTTGCGCTGGACATTGGGAGGCCAATAGTGGTGGTCCTTTCCGAAACGGGCTTGGAGATACTTGGATACCAGTCTCGTGATCACGAAGCATTCCAGTCTTTCTGCGTGGTCGAGAGCGCTTTTGAACAAGCAGGATGTGCCGGGCGTTCTAACATATATGCCAAACGATGGGTTACACTCCACATGGTTTGGTGTCCCAGATACTGGCCGTGAGGCACTCGACTTTTGCGGCAGTGTTTGACATTTGCCTGACCACATGTCAGCATATTCCTGCGGTCAAATCAGGGAACAGCGTATGAGATAGACTCACTAGGCCTTGGGTCGAGGAAACGGCCGCTGTATGCCTGCCTTGCTAATTTAGGGTCATCCTGTGCGGTGTCTAGGCTGGCTATAAACCGCAAACGGCCACCAGCATCGTGGTTCGGTAGGATTGACGGTCGATACACTTTTGTATCTCTGGGGATAATGACCGCCTTCATTGCTGAGATTTTAGGTTGAGGTTGAATCCGGCGAGCCATGAGGATGGGAGTATATAGAAGATGCAAAGTCGAATAGATGCAAATACCGCGGTTGTTCAAGTACTGATGTACTCATGAGCTGGCCCGGTACACGTGTTACCGGCTGGCCCCTTATAAAGAGTAAGTTGTGGATACTGTACTGAACGGACACACGACGCTTAACGTCTATAGGTCGGGCTGAATATCATCTCGCATGGATATGAGAACATGTTTGTAAATCTCCAAAGGCTGAATGTGATTCTGGGCATGGTGGAGTACTGGACGCATGCTGCAGGAGTAGTCCAGGACCTCCTCTACTCGACTTTCGCATGAGACTGTGGCTGGGCTGCTCTGCTATGTGAGACAACATGGGGCGCGAAACATAATGGTTCGTAGGGCATCTGGACAGTGCGCTAAGCTCGATATGTAATAGCGCACGTTGCGTAGTACGCTAACTCCTTCCAGCAAAGAAACCCATGGCTTACCGCCTCCAGCCAATGGTGGGGGCACTGCCCGGAGGAGCCAAGGGAACATTCGCCGTACAACTACTGGGTCATTACGTCAATTCCTTTTATACCGGAGAAGCAGAAAGTAATGCCAGCAACTATCCCTAGTCAACTTTTGAAGGGAATACAGGAGCCTCAGGAATCATACAGCATCTCACACAGTCACATGACGTCTGCATTAGCGAGGGCAAGCAGCTGTGTTGCGACGCACTGAATGTGATAGTGCAGAAAGCACGGAGCGAAGACTTACTCCTCGTACCGATTCTACCTAGCCACGGTTGCTCAGACATGATGAGTAGCATGAGTGAGCGTCCTACGTGACCGGTCACCTGACGCTCACTTGACGGTTTGTCAATCAACCATTTGCCTCCCCTAGGCTCAGTTGATTGATGTGTAGGATTACTACCAGTACAGCATATATTATGGCTGCGGTCCGTTCTGGGACTATTCACTGAGAGCGGCAAAGCCGTACCTGTACTTCGAGATAGAGTTCTGCACGCCGGCTCTACCTAGTCCAGTAGAGATAAATACTGATACGAAAAAGAAAAAGGTTATATCATAAGGTCTGACTGGATTAGGCGGGGGCTTCTACGAGTAACATACGCATGCTCTGAGTATTGCATCTAAGTGATTGTGCTCTGGCTAACATCAGTCATGTAACGTAAGTTTCCGAATGATAACATGTAGTACTGTAATCAGGAGTCGCCCGATGGCGATCAGATTACCCGCTCTCCAGGATGCCGGTACCACCTGTCATCCGAGTCTATATGCTTTAAGAAGATCAGCAATTTCTGCATGTCCCATCTCATGAGCGGCCGCCAGTGCTGGTCGCCGGAAGTAATCCCCTTCAATCACGACTCTTCTGTCCTGAAGCAAACGTCTCACAACGTTTAAATGTCCCGCATACACCGCCCAGCACAGCGGACTGCGTCCAATGAGGTCCGCCCGGTTGACATCCAGCTGAGGATCTTGAAGGAGGAGATCGACGACATCATGATGCCCGGCTGCTGCGGCCCGGCATAGTGGGGTCTCGCCTACCTGGGTTGGGAGATTAATGTCCAAGCGATCCCGGTGCTCGAGGAATAAGTTCACAATCTTGGTGTGGCCTCGTTCCGCTGCCAGGCCCAGTGCCGATGCGTTTCCGGCGAAGATTGGATCCAGCTGCAGATCGTCTCTCGCAAGCAACAGTCTGACCATGTCAATGTCCGCTTGATGCACGGCCCACACAAGTGGAGTCCAACCGGTCATGTCCGGTACATTGATATCCAGTCTCTCCTCGCAGAGAAGTAGCCGTGCTATGGTTCGGTTCCGGTACTGGACCGCATGATGAAGGGATGTTGATCCATCCCGGCCTACAACATTAAGATCGAGGTCGTCTTCGCATAGCAGTCGCTTTGTCAGAATCTCGTCAGAGCGCTTCGTCGCCCACCAGAGTGCGGTCTGCCCGCATGTATCTCCCACATTTGCATCCACCCCTGGCGCAGCGAGGAGCAGCTTGGCAACGGACAGGTACCCGCGGGTTGTGGCTTCATGCAGAGCTGTGAACCCGTCGTCGTTCCGGCCGTTTAGCTTGATGTCTGGTTGGTTGAGCAATAGCGTGAGCAAATCAAGATCCGCCATGCTTGCGGCTAGATGTAAGGGGGAATTCCCGCTTGCCGTGCGAACATCGGCATTCGTAGGAGCTTCCAGGAGAAGCTGGCAAATGTGGTCCCTGCGGAGGGCAACGGCCAGACATAATGGCGGCATTTCTTCGTATATCTTCCAGTGCCCATCGGCACCGGAAATCGAGACATCAAGATCACTGCGCGTCAGGAGCATGGCGGCGATCTGTCTATTGTCTTTGATGATGGCACGATGCAGGGCGGTCATACCGAGCCAATCCTGCGCGTTCACATCAAGGTCCTGCTTCTGAAGCAAGAGCTGCACAAGTCCGTCGTCGTTGTGCAGAACAGCATAGTGCAGAACCGTCCGGTCCTTCCAGTCTCGTGCTGAGATGTCAATGTCGCCATGCGCTAGGAGCGCGCGACCGCCGCTGCCGAAGCCTTTGCGCATGGCGTACAGCAATGGCGAGGCTGACTGGCTCTGAGGATGCATCTCAATTCTCGCATCGGCCAGAAGCAATCGCAGAATGACAAGGTGCCGATGCTTGATAGCGTCCAGCAGCGGTGTCTTGTTGTCCCTGCTTCCTGCGTTGATATCCGTACGGGCGTCTGAAAGCAACACCTGAACAACCTCTACATCCTTCTTCCGCACCGCCACACCAAGCGGGGTCAAGCCCAGACCCTCGCCGCGGCAGTTGACATCGATGCCGTCGTACGAGAGCAGCCATCTCACAACGGGTGCCTGTCCGAACATTGCGGCAAAATGAAGAGGTGTGTAGCCATGGAGATACACATTGACGCGGGCCCGGTAAACACACATCGTCTGGATAAGTTCCAGCTTACCATAACGCGCTGCCCAGTGCAGCGCCGAGCTGTTTTGGAATCGTATGTTGAAGCGATAGAGCGCCGGTAACAGCTGTCGATATACATGCGAATTGGTGAGACACAGAGAATGGATGTCCTTGGCCCGCTCCAGATGGTCCATGACACAAAGTAAGAGCTCACCCGGTAGGTCCAGCAGCAGCATGCTGGTCTGAGGCGGTGGTAGGTGTTCTTGGGATCGTGCAACAGGGAGCTTGGCTGAGATGTGGACACACCAGGAGGTACAAGCGAGGCTCTAGGAAGGTACACGCGCCGAGATGGGCCTGTTGGCTCCTCGAAGCAGCTGGGTTACGATACCTTTATACCGTGGCGTCCGCGTACCTGGCTTGTGGGCCTCGGCAGGAACAAATATATCCCAAAGGATCTCTTGAGAGGCGTTGTCTCTAATGGAGCCAGGCTGCGCTTTTCATGTAGATCAGTCCCACAACTAACGTCTCGAGAACCGTAAATCCATATGATGGTATGCAGCGGCGATGCCCCATATGAGGGCACGCACTCTCTCTGGATGCCAAGGCCGTTCCCACACACATGGCTGATAGCAAGCAACCTTGCAATCCCGTGCCATGCTATCTCACACTACCACTGCATCTAGAATGCATGGGAGTGCCTCTCGGATTTCTACTACCGCGTGCTAGTATAGATTGATCCAGATGCCGGATGCCGCATTCCGGTATGAACAGTCTAGAATTCGGGAAACTCATAGTGGAAGAATTCAAATTCAGGCATGGCTTATAAGGCGCTGCACAGTACGATATTGTAATTAATGCTGCAACATTCCAAAGTATTGGCTGCATCTCACAGATCAATAAGCGTATCAACGCACAGAGACGCGCGGGATGTTCCACGCTCCTCTGCAGGACACTCATTCTAACACGGACCGAGTATCTGAAGCTAGAGCTACAAAGGGCAGGTCAACTTGGCTGCGGGTCAAAAGCGTGGTCGAATTTGCTGGAATCAAGAGGCTCATGCAGCATCTCCTCGTCCATCCATTGTTCGAACGCAAACCGGGCTGCTGGCAGGCGGTTGTACAGGAAGATCTCGAAGAAATCCGGGGGAATATTCTGCAGCAACCGGGGCCGGAACTGCTGCAGGACCGCCTCCATGGCTTCAAACTGGGTCTTTTTCAGCGTGCGGTAGTCCGTCATGGACGATCCCTCCTCGCCGGAGAAGTAGCCCACGCCTTGGGGAAGGAAGCAGAGAATGTTAGGAGACCCAGCGATACGCGCGAGCTGTTTCCACGGCCATGCCCGCTTGCTCCACTCCTTGACCTTCTCCTCCACCTGGCGATAATCCCGAGCGTCCGCCGGGAGGCCCTGGATGATGTCCCCGACGGTCTGGCCCAACGGGTCCGGGCAGCCCCTCTGGCTATGCTGCTGGCGCAGATCGTGGACATACCAGCAGGTCAACGCAAGCCCAATCCGAGACGATTGCTCATTGCTTTTGTGCCACAGGCCCGCCTCAAACACGCCCGCCGCGCTGCGGCCAAAGGGACGCGTCGTATCGTGCTCTCGGGCCCGCAAATGTGACAGCTGGCGCTTGATCCCCACTAAGACCGCAGGTGATGCGATGTTGAATGTCAGCTGAAGCAATCGATCCGCTTGTTCCCATCCCATGGGTACCCCGCCCAGCGGCATCTGTGCCACTCGCTGCCACGTGCTGGTCAGATCCAGAGCTCCACTGCGTCCTGTCACGGCAGACCACCGCCGTTCCGCCTTCTCGTGACGTGACAGGCCGGTCAACCCACCAACCAGTGACGGTGGCTGACTGGTACGGGACTGGAGCACCTCCGCGACAATTGTCTGGGCCAGGCTGGACCGGAAGGTGTCCGGGGGATCCCCCTGCACGGGAAGCCCTCCTGCCCGCTGCGCCATGGTCCAGAGGAAGCGGGTCTCACTGCGATTCACCTCCCCATCGGACCCGAGGCACTGATGGTCTACCTGCCATTCGGGACAGGGTTGCTGGCACTCGCGCAAATGCTGGGACAAGGCAGTTGTGGCGGCCTGGCAGGTGGAACAGGCCTGTGGGCGCGAAACATCGTGCGCGGACGGCTCTTTGGAGGCAAAGGAGTAGTGCACGACGGCCCCGGTGCTAGTCTGGACTTCTATCAAGGACCAGTTGCCGTGCCTGCTGTCGGGCAACAGCAACGTCCGTGGGAGAGGGTACAGCCGGAGCGAACCCCGGTGGAGCTGGTCCTTCCACCCCACGTCCCCGATCCGCAGATTCTGGGCATGGTGCTGCCGGGCCAGCCGCTCCCCCAGGAGGTCAACGCTGAAGTCTGAGAGACCCCCGGGGGTGCGCAGTTCAGCCAGCAACCGGCTCACATGGGCGCGCGTCAAGGATGCTCCGTAGACTGAGATCGAGTCGTCCTCCGACAGGCCGCGCGACAGGGTATCGCGCAGCGCAGCCCATTCACCCTGCCAAGCGGCTCCAGCATCCCGGTCTGGGCTGTCATGCCGGCCGTCCGCCATGGTCGCATTCGTGACCGTTCCCTCGTGAATGCCAGGCGTCACTGGGGAGGAAGGGAATGCTTTCAAGATGGCTTGGCTGATGTTTTCCGGAAGGCACCAGCTGTCTGCCAGCCTGGCGGTGTCGGCTGTGGACAAGCTCGGGGAGGACGATTGCGAGAAGGGCGCGACATCACCAGGGTCAATCGGCGTCTGCCCCGTAGACCATGATGGCTGCATCTGCGGCTCCGGCCATTGAGTGTTCTGCGGAACAAACAATGGATCCAGGCGTGCGCGTTCCGGGGCCTCGGCATCAATAAATGTAATTCCGCAGCGGGAGCCGGACCGCCCGGGGACGCTCTCAGATGAGCCATCAAGAGACGGGGTAGGTTGCTGCATGGAGTCCGCGGAGGTCTCGTGGAATTCCCGGAGCAAGTGGTCGAAGGCAGCCCCCGCGCCCGGCTGGGCGAGCGGGCCACCGCACAGATCCGTGGCCTCCAACGCTACGAATGCATCGTCGCGCCCAGACTGTTGCTCAGGGCCATCGGCCGTACTCCTGTCGCTCTCATCCGTATCCGACATAGAGCCCTGACAGACCGAAGCGAGCTGGTTTTGCCCGCAACCTCGATCTTCCTCCCGGCCGCCGGTCCCGCTACCACTACCGACGCTACCCTCATCGTCCAGTTCCGGCAAGACGCAAGTCAGTCCCTCCACATCCCCGCCTTCGTGGAAGCTTGGGATGGAGTGCTGCCACTCGGTGACCAACGGGCCGAGCTGCCTACTGCAGACATGGTCGGCCGGTCCACCGGCGACCGCGTCGACCTGATTGATATCGGCGGTTCGCCGGCGGGCCACGGCTCTCTCGGTAGGAGCTGCAGATGTGTCGATCCACTCCAGCTTGCGTTTAGAACCCGCCAGCAGTCCCGGCAGTGGGTTTTGCGGACTGGTCATCGCAATATCGCTGAGGTGGGCTTCGATGGCCTGGACATAGTCGAGTGGGTTGGACGAGGTCGGAAACAGCGCCATGCAGGGCTGAAACTCCTCATACATATCACGCAGATAATTCAACTACAGGCACGGTCAGCATGCTCTGCTCTGACGAGGCCCGATCCACGGCCTGTGACAAGGTCTCACCTGGACGTGAGCCAAGCGAGCTAGGGCCGTCCGACCTACCAAGATGTTTGCGGTACACGTTGTGCTTGCGCACCCTTCAGTCCACTGGCCGCACAGTTCCACGACCAGAGGTTTCTACCAGTGGCCCGTCAGTTGCGCCCCAAGGCCATGAGACCATCTGGACTCACCGCAATCTCCCAGTATCTCCTCTGTTCCAACTTAGAGGCCATATCTCGCTGGCCACCACGGGTCCGCGTAGGAGCTTTACCAAACGTCCAAACACAACACCCGATATGCAGCTGCCCCGCAGACCCAGAGGTCTCCTTAGATTCGCAGTCCTTTGCTGTGGCATCTGTGATATCAATCACGGCCATTCTTCTGGTTTTAAAGCTGGGTGCATATTCCTGGTCTCGACACAGTCGGCGAGAAGATCGACGCTCTTATAGCGAACCATGCGTGTCTGAGAGAGCTCCTTTTACACTGCTTGTTGGTATCTGTCAACGCCGCCATCGGACCCGATTAAGGGTGCAGGACGCCGCATTATTTCCAGCCGGGGGCGGGGGAGGGACAAGGAGAGTATGTGTACCATGGTTCCTGCAGTGTACCTTTCACAAATCCCGCACCATTATTACATGATTAAAATGGTGAAGTTACATTGGCGAACTTCCTGTCAAGATGGCACTACCTCCAACGGCTCCCTCCTCTGGCACTTATGGAATTGGCCAGATCGGAAATATTTCTTCATCCCAGAACCCCGGCCGTCACTTACAGCATAGCCAGCTGGGCAACGGAAGACATCGCCTTCCATATCTTTCCTGTGCGGAATATACATATGGACGTCAGTCCCCGGTGTCACACACAATCCCTGCTTGTCGACTGCTGCCATTCGCCGCGTTTCAACGGCCTTCGATAACACTGCCTGGGAGACTGCGGGGCAGTAGATGGGGATAAGGTCTGAAGACCCATGCGCTAGTGGTAATTAGCGGCTAGGGCTGAGAAGCCCCAAGATCCAATGTTGACAACCATGGATAGCGTGTGGTGGGAATCCTGCTGCCTCTTGCATCTCAAACAGGATCGGCAGGGCCCACAGATCTACCCGTGACTACGGACTCACAAGCACTGTTTAGTCCGGCATCCGTAGTCTTTGCTCCAGCGTTCATTTTCCGGATACGTTCGTGAATGATGAAACCGCGTGGGATGATGCAGCAGAAAATGTGCCAGGCTATGACGTCTCTTCCAGCCCTGCAGGAATGGGCGTGTTCAAGATCCCTGGACGGGTGGGAGCCATGAAAAGAGCAGTTTCTATCCCGGTATGATAAGCGTCAATGTTGCCCAAGTTCCAAGGCTCAGAAGTGTTGGGAAAAGCTTCTTCGACCACATGGGTGGCCAAATCTACGTCCGGTTCACCGGTCAAGCTCGCTGGCAGCAACGCCGACGTCTAGAATGGCCTAGTTGACAGAAATTGCCCATTGCGCTATTCCCCTTCAAGACATCTGATGGCCAACCCGGGATACCGTAGGATCAGGAAGCAGATCAGCAGCGGGTGCCCGCTCCGCAAGTGGACTCGGCCAGAAGACCACGTGGATCTCGGATTTCCTCTCCGTGAAACTTTTCATCAACAATAGCATACATTGTGTGGGAACAATTGAGTTTTCAGCTGTTGCGGAACGTGGCATCGGACGGTGTCGATCATCTCTACTCGACGACATCATCCGCCGCATTTGTAAGCCATTCATGAGCGGGCCCGCAAATCCCCGTGGGGCTTCCTAGCGACTGATCCATGGAGATTGGTGCCTGCTGCGGTAGGCGGTTAATATACATCGTACCAGAGGTACAGTAGAGCCGGGAATTGATTTGCTTGGCCGCCACTGCAAGCACAGGAGTGGGAACAAGTGATTACCCGTAGCCGGCTAGCTTAGAGAGGAAGTCCCGGTGTTCGCCTCAGCCACACACTAGTGTGAGTAAATTTTCTTGTATAGATTACAGAAGTCTAGACAAACTCTACTACACTGAACGGCATCATACAAGCGACTCGCGTTAATTCTGCAAGAATTGAACGAGAAAGAGGGGAGAACACTCGCTTGCCAAATGACTCAACAAAATACAGCAGTGGGGATTGCGGGTCCGATCAAAAGCAGCACCCAGCAGATCTCGCGGACAGCCGGTGAACAGACTACACTAGAAATTCTTGCAATGAAAAACAGTGGTCGCACACAGAACACGGCCCAGCTCGCTGGTTGGCCTGCCTGCGTAATCCCATTGACACCGAAGCTTCTTGTGCAAAAGGCCATTATTCGTAAGTAACCTGGGCCTCTTCTGCTGCACAAGCTATTGCGTGTGCAATCTGGACCATCCGCCTGGCCTTCAGTCGGGTTACCCGCAGACCCCGCCGCAGCGCAAGTCGGCGCTCACACGCCACGCACTCGTCCCGGGACGCGGCTCCAGGTTCAGTCACGCCGTCTGCAAGCGACAATCCCTGCCGATGCAGAAACCAATCCATCGGGTTAGGGAACCCGCCCACGGGGACCTGTCGCCCGTCGTCCAGCCGGAGTGATAGGGAAACGGTGTCGCTCAGACGGCGGACGCGGAACCGGACAGGGACGCAATACCGCCCGCACCTTGCGCAGGTGGCCCCATCCGTGACGCTGATGCCCAGAGGCTTGCCGCCAACGACGTAGTCCATCTGGCATGCATCGACTCGTTGGATAGCGCTCAGAAAGACCTCGCCGGAGACCCGGCACCGAATGGTTCCGACGCACCAGTACGACGGAGTGCCCGTCTCGCGCTCCGGAACGGAGACCAGTTCGAAGAATAGACTCTGCGCGAGGAGCCTCAGCAGGCACTGGCGCCCCTGTCTCCCCACCCCCTGTTCGACGGTTTGCCGGATGAGATCGTCCATGGCATGGGCTGCATCAAGGCGGGGCTCCGGTCCCGCAAGGCAGATGTCCAGTCGAGACAAGGCGTCCTGGTCAGCCGCGGCCGCCTGGTTGCGGAAGCGATCCCACAATGTCTTGCCGTCCATGGTCTCGAGGAAGCTACGCAGCACCGGCCAGACGAAATGGCTACGGGGGGCAGGTGCGCACGACCGTTCGGGACCGGGACTGTTCGCGCGGGATCCTCGCGTACCCGTGCCGATGGAAATGAGAATACCAAGTGGGGGTTGCCAGGACCACATGTATTGCAGTTCCTGGCGACAAAGCGCTACTGGGTTGTTGTGCCGCAGGCCCCCGTCCCAACAGGCGCCCAGCGCGGGCAGCACCAGCGGGCGAAAAAGCCTAAGGCATGTCAGCCAGCCGACCAGTCTCGCAACCACCGGACCAGCCACTGATTTGGGGTGCCACCTACAGGGGGACGGCAGATGTGGCGCGGGCACTACATCCAGTCTGTCAGTCACGCAGCCTGGGTTGCGGTAGAAGCGGGGATGCTGACCTCTGCCAGAGCAACGGCTCTTCCTCCGGCGTCTTCGCAAGCACACTACGGTAGCCTGGCCGTGACGTTTACTGAGTTAGCCAAGCACAAAGCGGTCAGAGCTACATGAGGTTGCCACCCGGTCAGGAAGGAACTGAGGAACTTCCCGACCGTCCAGTGCAAGGAACACGTAAAACGAAGTCACAATACCGTGCACGCACCAACATTGCGGGGCCGCAGTGTCGCGGCTTTATAATTAGTCACTAGTGCCGTACCGTCTTCAGTGGTGGTGGTGACCGCGACCTTGGTCTCTGACCTACTCTCTGGGCTGAAAAGCCGCTGTGTATCGCTATAGTGGGCGCGGAGAAGCGATTCGAGCTCGTTCGCGTCGTATAGCCCTCGGCCCAGGGCACTGCGTATCATGCGGCGTGGCCATGAGAACAGACGACTGCATGGTGGACCCTGGAAGAAGTGGAATAGCAGGCGCTGAAAAGCCTCCAGACAGTCTGTCACGGATCTGTGCTTGGCAAAGATGTCGAGTATGATCAGCCCGCCTGCGGTACAGGTGTCAGTCACCCAAAACGGGAATGTGCCACGCGCTGGGGACTATGGTCAGGGAAAAGGACAGGTTGTGTTGCCATCCTCACCGGCACTGGTGCCAAATGCGACATCAATCAGCCCCGGAAGGGAGCATTTGGGCCCCAGGATGAGTTGCAGGCCCAGCAAGATTCGGATGGGGATGACGCCACGAACGCCGCCCCCATCCACGGCGAGGGCACGCACAGCCGCGGTGGGAGGCAAGAGAACCACCGATGTGACGCATGGAGCTTGACACAGTGGGCAGGTCTCGACGACAAAGGCCGACTCTCTCCGCGGGGCGGGTCGACCGTAACGCTCGATGCAGCGGTCACACAGGGCATGGCCGCAGGGCAGCGGATGTTGCGGGCGGCACAGAAGGCAACCCAAACACGTACGGTTGCTGTGGAGACGTTCGAAAATCGCCCGCCATTCGGTCAGGTGCTGCACATGGAGCGCTAACGGAATCACGTCCTGGTCCAGCAGGCATGCATGGGCGTCAACCAGCCGTGACTCGATCGAGTCGGCGCGAGCCGTGGCTGCAGCGGAACATGCAACCCCCCGCAGCGCGTCCAGGCAGGGCTGTCGGTAGCGTTGGCGGAACAGATCGCGCGGGTGGAATCCTGGATGCGCAAGTCAGCCTTGGCCCGCCCAGTATATGTACTGCCGGGCGTGGTCGAAGAGATCGGGGCATGTGCATGACCCGACAGCCGCGCGCGGGGGGTCTTACCGTGTGTATCCGGCGGGTAGGCGTCCAGCAGGAGACTCGAGGCAAGGAGCTGGTCCTGCGTCTCGGAGCCAATGGCCTGCGTCCGCTCGAGAAAGTCCCCGATGCAGGCAGCCCACTCGGCTGGTCGGGGCTGGGGGCGGCCCGCTGCGATCAGATCAAACGGCTTCTGGTGGTCCTGAGCCGTGTGGCGGATAGCACCCTCCAGAAAGCGGGCCAGATGACACGCCAAGAAAGATGTCTGCGTCGTCACTCGCTCTCGGGTCGCCCAGTCCAGGGCTTTGAGAATCTCTTCCTTTACTGGGCGATACCTCGCCTCGTCGGAGAGCACGTCGCCCCGTGACACCGGGAGCAGATGCACGCTCGCGTACAGCTCTGATCCGTCCAGTTGCTGGAACAAGGCCTGCCCATCCGACTCGGACACCTCGTCCGCGTCAACCAGGACAATGATACGCGTCTGCAGCGACGGCCGCGTGGCATCACGGCCCGCTACCGCCCATCGATTCAAGAGGCGGCGAACACTGGGAAGTCCCCCGAGGTCTGCAGCAAAGATGCATGTGACGTGAGCGAAGGGAAGCAAGCATCTTGCGACAATGACGTCCTGCAGCGGCAGAGCCGGGTCGGAGCTCCAGGTAATGGGGATCGGCTCGTCGCGGGCCAGCAGCTCGGTGTCGGGCAACTGGCAGTCCCGGAGCGGATCCCCATCAGCGAACAGAATCGGTCGTTCTGTGGGCCACGTGCGGTGATCGACCCGCAGGTTAAACCCTCCGACTTTGCGTGATGGGTTGTCCGGGAACAGGTAGCGTAACGCTCGGTCTTTCCGGCTCCGGCCCAGGAAGCAAACCAAGGCCGCCTGTGAGGGGCGCCGAGGGGTGCTTGCCGCCGTCAGCTGCCTCGGCCGGGTCGCATCATACAGCAGGGAGGCACCAGCCTCCTCCGCCACGAGAGCCAGCCAGGCTGTCTGGGGCGCGAGCCGCATCGGACCGGACCGGAGACAAACAGACGCACGTGCCGTACAGCATGTAGGCCATGGTCGGATCCTCAACCGGGAGACCGTGACGCGCCTATATATTCGCCCGTATCATGCCATGGCTTGCATTGGCAGCCGCCAGAGTCGTGGTGCTCTGGGTATCTAGCCCGCGTTCTATTTCTGGCTACCGCCGCCGTTCCTGCTGCGTCCCAGGGCACGCCCAATCAGCCCGACCAGCCTCAATCTCCTCGCGCGGGCGGGCCCCCCTCCCCCCCAAGCAATGCCAGAGTAGACGTCAAATAATCCGCAGGTGGTCTACAACATCAACTAATGGCCGCTTCTGTCTCAGAGTAGCTAGCAATGGGTGTCGTTATAGCCCTCATTGTATTGTCGAGAAACCTTGCTTATCTCGAGTAGGTCGACATCCTATTCAAATTTCCCATTACAGGCCCGGCCACCCATTGTGATCAGTGTCTTTGGCATCAACAGAAATCCCCAATACAACGCCCCGGTGAACTGATGAACTGGTGAATGTCCCAAGCAAACGGGGTCAGTCTACAGGGTAACGGGCTGATAGGTGGCGGATAATCAAGCATCTTGTACCAGGTCGGAACGCACGAGTCGAACTCACGTGACTGACGCTGGCCCACAGAAGTTCACGTGAGCTTCCAAGGCAAATAGTGTACTACGCGCCATACGCTATTCCGGATCTGATCTAGCGCGGTCTGGCGGAACCATGCTAAGTGGCGGGCGGCCGTACGCGCGGGCGCGTGCTTGATGTGGGAAACACGTAAACATACCCAGAAGCGCGTAGACTATCACGAAATCTACTCATGTTAATGCCCCGTCGTCAAGGCAATCTTTAGGAAACTTCTGGCACGACACTAGTCGAATGAGCTGATCTGCATTACTCTATCGCGGCGACTATTGCATCTTCCTGGCCTGGGACTGCCATGTTCAGGATACCTTGACAGAGATGGCCAAACAGGTCCTAACCCGTCCGTGTACAGTACATATGGACAATAGCGACAATGTACCAACGTAGAATTCAATGTGACCTCATGCATGAACTCATACACGATTTCTGTTGTGGCCAGATATATATATGTAAGTGTGTGGACGATGTCCTTTGGAGCAGCTGCGCTACTAGCTCTGCGACATATATATTTGTGGCCGGTTGCCCTCTCCATAGCCGGGCCAGCCAATATATCCTTATTGCACTACAGTTGTGCTACAGAGTACAATAGTCATCGACTGTAGCAGCGCAATTACCTACAGTAAGACTCTCAATTAATGCATACATCATCCAGGAAGGCTGGAAGGGTAGATGGTAACGTTACAAGCTGGATTATTATAAGCAGCTCCGTACACGCGGTTGCAAACATGGTGCAAGAGCGTTAAAGCCTTTCCAGTTAATCCGGCCGATTTCCGCGACGCCTAAGCAGCGCGTCTTCTCCAAAGCTACCATTGGATCCTTGGATTTTGCCACCGACAAGCGGGTCATTTCCTTTCATGGTCTAGCGCCCTGGTAGGGTAGAACAGAGAGTCTCAGGGAGTTGCGCACCGTCTGTGCGATCGCGTTTACAGTAGAAAGAGACTGTTATCGCAAATATAGAAAGGCAGGGACAGCTAGATGAAAGTACTGTTGTACCCTTGGTCTAGTCCGTGCAATTACATGATGATCAATCCAATTGCTTTGTCATCCAGTACACAACCAACGCCCTCTGAGTTCAATATGATCTATAAGATCTATAAGAGGCTTTTTACACGTATAAACGCACGCCTTCCATGTCGATGGTCCATGCCTGCCGCGGCTCTAAAGTGAAGACAGGCCCTTGTGTGTGGGCCGCAGCTGATTTGTCAGCATAGCCGACGCATGCCGCCCGGCAGCTGGGACATGTGACTCTCACCAACTGCGTCTCCTGAGCTTGGCTTTCATATGTCCGTTTCACATACTCTTCAAGGCAAGCCCGATGGAAGACGTGCCCGCAGAGAACTGCCACCAGGCTATTTACATGGCTTTCAAGGCAGAATACGCAGGTGAACGGACGAGACCCAAGTCGGGTCAATGAAGTATGGCTGCACTCTCCACTGCAACTGTTCTGTGGATC